ATGGGTTCAGAATGCTCTGTGGTTGTAGGTGAACTACAAATCCCAGCACCTAAAACTCCCAAGTGTCAAGATTCTATTTTCTCCAAACTCCACAAGTGTTCACATTTGGGCATATTGAGTATTTGTGCCAAGTTTGGTCCAGATCCATCATTGTTTGAGTCCACAGTGATCTCTGGATGTAGGTGAACTACAACTCCAAAACCAAAGGACACTGCCCACCAAACCCTTCCAGTATTTTCTGTTGGTCATGGGAGAACTGTGTGCCAAGTTTGGTTCAATTCCATCGTTGGTGGGTTCAGAATGCTCTTTGATTGTAGGTGAACTATAATTCCCAGCAACTACAACTCCCAAATGTCAAGTCTATTTTCCCCAAACTCCACCAGTGTTTACATTTGGGCATATTGAGTATTCGTGCCAAGTTTGGTCCAGATCCATCATTGTTTGAGTCCACAGTGCTCTCTGGATGTAGGTGAACTACAACTCCAAAACCAAAGGTCACTGCCCACCAAACCCTTCCAGTATTTTCTGTTGGTCATGGGAGATCTGTGTGCCAAGTTTGGTTCAATTCCATTGTTGGTGGGGTTCAGAATGCTCTTTGATTGTAGGTGAACTATACATCCCAGGAACTACAACTCCCAAACAACAAGTGAAGGACATACATTGGGTTGTTAGGTGTCTTGTGTCCAAATTTGGTGTCAATTTGTTCAGTGGTTTTTGAGTTCTGTTAATCCCACAAACGAACATTACATTTTTGTTTATATAGATATGAATCCGAGGGTTAGAAGTTACTTTAAGAACCATCCAATCCAATCCCTGTCTGCCAAGCAGGAAAAGCACAATCCAAGCACTCCCGACAGATGGCCACGCACCCTCTCCTTAACAACAACAACAACAACAGCAATAATAATAGTAGAACTATAGAATCCCTTCCAGGTTTCCCCCTCCGTTTCGAAGGAGCTCTCCAAGGTGCTGAACTCAATTTCTAAATGGATCCGGTACCTTGGAGAGCTCTTGTAAAAATAGCCCAAATCTGCGCCACCGACACAATTATTCCGCCCATTAACTGCATTCCCAGAAACCTCCAGGTCATCTCTTTTGGGGTTTCAAATAGGCCAGAGGGAAGGTCTCAGAATGCATACATACACGCCTAGAAAAAAGCCCATTTGGATGGCAAAACGTGCCATTGCCTTCCCTAAAATGCAAGGATGTAAGGAAGAGAAAGGAGAGAAAGTATGAGGGAAAGAAAGGAAAGAAAGGGAAAATGGGATTGGGAAAGAAAAGGGGGTGAATAAGGGAAGAGAAGAAGGGGGAAGAAGGGAGAAAGAAGCAAAGGGAGGGAGAAGGAAGAGAAAGGAAGGGAATGGTACAAGAAAGGGGAAAAACGAAGGAAGGGAAGAGAAAGGAAGAGACGAAAGAAAGAAAAAAAGAAAAAGAAGGGAAGAGAAATTACAAGGGAGAAGGAAGCAAATGGAGGGTGGGAAGGAAGAGAAAGGAAGGGAATGGCACAAGAAAGGGGAAAAAAGAAGGAAGAGAAGAGAAAGGAAGGGAAGAAAGAATGGATGAAGGAAGGGAGAAAGAAAGGAAGAAAGAAAGAAGGAAAGGGAAAGAAGGAAGAGAAAAAGAGAAAGGAAAGGGAAGAAAGGGGAAAAAAGAAGGAAGAGAAAGGGAAGAAAGAAGGGACGAAGGGAGGGAGGGAAGAAAGAAAGAAATAAAAAGAAGGAAAGTAGATGGAAGGGGGAAGGAAAAAAGGAAAGGACGAAAAGTGTCAGAAAGGAAATAAGAGAAAGAAGGGAGAGAAAGGAAAGGAAGAAAGAAGGGTCAAAGGAAGGGGGGAAGAAAAAAGAAAGGAATAGAAGTGGAGAGGAATGAGGGAAAGAATGAAGGAAGAGAAGGGGAGAAAAAGGAAGGAAAGAAAGGACAAAGGAAGGAAGGGAAGGAAGAAAAAGAAAGGGTGCGAAACAAAAGGTGTAAGAAAGGGAAAAGAGAAAAAGAAGGCAGGAGAAAGGAAAGGAATAAAGAAAGGGTGAAGGAAAGAAGGTAAAAAGAAAGAAAAAGAAAGAAAAGAAGAGCACAGAAAGAAAAAATGGCAGAAGGTGTAAGAAAGGAAAAAAGAGAAAGAAGGGAAGAGAAAGGAAAGGAAGAAAGAAGGGACAAAGAGAGGGAGGGAGGGAGGGAAGGAGGGAAGAAAGAAAGAAAGAAAGAAAGAAAGAAAGAAAGAAAGAAAGAAAGAAAGGGGAGAGAAAGGAGGGAAAGAAGGAAGGAAGGGAGGAGGAGGGAGGGAGGAAGGAAGAAGGAAGGAAGGAAGGAAGGAAGGAAGGAAGGAAGGAAGGAAGGAAGGAAGGAAGAGGAGAGGAGAGGAAAGAGGAGGAAGAAAAAAAGGGAGGGAGGGAAGAAAGAAAAAAGGGATGAGAAAGGAAAGGTTTAAGAAAGGAAAAAAGAGTAAGACGGGAAGAGAAAGGAAAAGAAAAAAGAAGGGGCAAAGGAAGAAAGGAAGAAAGAAAAAGAAGGGAAGAGAATGGAAAGAAAGAGGGTGGAAGATGTAACAAAGGAAAAAGAGAAAGAAGGGAAGAGAAAGGTAAGGAAGAAAGAAGGGACAAAGAGAGGGAGGGAGGGAAGAAAGAAAGAAAGAAGAAAGGGAGAGGAAAGGGAAGGAGAGGAAGGAAGGAAGGAAGGAAGGAAGGAAGGAAGGAAGGAGAGGAAGGAAGGAAGGAAAGAAAGGACAAAGGAAGGGAGGGAAGAAGAAAAAAGAGGATGAGAAAGGAAATGTGTAAGAAAAGAAAAAAGAGAAAGACGGGAAGTGAAAGGAAAGGAATAAAGAAGGGGCAAAGAAAGAAAGAAAGAAAGAAAGAAAGAAAGAAAGAAAGAAAGAAAGAAAGAAAGAAAGAGAAGGGAACGGAAAGAAAGAGGGCGGAAGGTGTAAGAAAGGAAAGCAAGGGAGGAATTCAACCCTGGTTTGAAAGTCTTATTTCCTGTTTCCTTGGGAGGTCCTTCTCTACCCCAGAAATCTTGTTTTTGCGGCACAAACGATGTCCAATTGATGATGCAATCCTTGAAAAACGAGAGACAAATGTGCTGCGGGATGATGTCCCTCGTGCAAAAACCAAGTTTTTGGAAGCGTAATAAACCATTTCCCTAACCAATAAGGAAATGACACTGATAACCCAGGAACGGAAATTGTGTTGGATGGTGAGATTGCCATTGCGCATCATGCTCGTTCTCGATGCGAGACTGGGCACCGGGAAGTGAGCAGATGGCCCCTTCTCCCATGAGCCTCTGGGCTTCTCTTCCGCGATTGATGTCCAGGTGGAAGGAGATCAAAAGGAGGAGGCTCTGAATCATCAAGGAATGGGCCGCTTCCTCCGCTGTAGCGCTCTGTGGGGAGCGCCGATGCGCAGCGGCACACTGAAGCCACGCGCCAATTAAATCCACCACATCCTGCCCATTGGGCGGCCCTTTTCCTCACAACTCCTGCCGCAAGGAAGCTGCGCATTTCAGACTTACTTAATAGAAGTAAAAATATGTATGTGTGTCCACTTACACAGATAAGCTCTTGTCTCCACAAACAACTACAGATCCCATTATTCAGGAGACACCAATGGCCTTCCTTCCAATGGCATTGCAGGTTATAGTGAGCGCCATGAACATGTCCAAGTCCTCCACCAACACCATACTGCCCTCTACTCAAGTGAAGGCTTTCATGCAGGGACAATTCCAGCCTAGATTTTATGTGTTTCCTCCATCACAGGCATCCCAGTGTTCCTCTCTCCCTCCACTAGTGTGGAATTTGCATGACTCCACCCACTGCCTCTCCCTTATTAACCATTTCCTACATTTCATCCTCAATTTTATGTGTTTCCTCCACCACAGGCATCCCAGTGTTCCTGACTCTCTCCACTGGTGTGGAATTTGCATGACTCCACCCACTGCCTCTCCCTTATTAACCATTTCCTACATTTCATCCTCAATTTTATGTGTTTCCTCACATCCCACTGTTCTTGACCCTCTCCACTGGTGTGGAATTTGCATTACCCCCATCCACTACCTCTCCCTTATTAATCTTTTCCTACATTTCATCCTCAATTTTATGTGTTTCCTCCACTACAGGCATCCCAGTGTTTCTGACTCTCTCCATTGGTGTGGAATTTGCAAGACTGCACCCACTGCCTCTCCCTTATTAACCCTTTCCTACATTTCATCCTCAGTTTAATGTGTTTCCTCCACCATAGGCATCCCAGTGTTCCTGACTCTCTCTACTGGTGTGGAATTTGCATGACCCCACCCACTGCCTCTCCCTTATTAACCCTTTCCTACATTTCATCCTCAGTTTTATGTGATGCTTCCACCACAGGCATCCCAGTGTTTCTGACTCCATTGGTGTGGAATTTGCAACTTTCCTCTCCATTGGTGTGGAATTTGCATCACCCTGCCCACTGCCTCTCCCTTATTAACCCTTTCCTACATTTCATCCTGTTTTATGTGTCGTCTAAGGGCTGAGAAGGGCAGTATACAAATATAGTAAATAAATAAATAAATAAATAAATAAATAAATAAATGTGTTTCCTCCAACACAGGTATCCCAGTGTTTCTGACTCTCTCCATTGGTGAGATTTGGATGACCCCGCCCACTGCCTCTCCCTTAACCCTTTCCTATTATTTTCTATTGCACACAGGAAACAGAGGAATTGATCAGCAACTGAACTGAGTAAGAAACACTGGGATGTCTGTGGTGGAGGAAAGACATAAAATCTAGGATGAAATTGTCCCTGGATGTCTTCATTTGGGTGGTGAGCAGTGATGAGCAGTATGGTGTTTGTGGAAGACATTTGCAAGACTCTTGTACATGTTTACCACGCTCTGTCATTGGAGGGACATTGGTGTCTCCTGCGTAGTGGAAACCACAGCTGTTTGTGGAATGGAACGGATGGATTACTGGAACGTGGCCATAGAGGCCGAAACACTCACAGCAACCCAGTCTCGAAATGCCTCACATCCCGACTCACCCTTGTTCCTCCATCATCTCCTGGAGTTCCATGCATTTCAGCTCCACCCGCCGCTTGCGCTCGTGGTCCAGGATCTCCCGGTGGGCCTTCTTCACCAGGCCGGGCTCTGCCAGCCGCACCTCCTCTTCCGCTTTGTGCCAAGTCCCCGAGGCGCCGGGCTGGGAGAAGCCATTGGAGGCCTCCTGCGGAGAAGGCGTCCTCGCCGTCCCGTTGTTGTTGTTGCTGTTGCAAGCCGCCATGGAGGCAGAGGGGCACCCGGGTCTGGGCCTGGAAGGGAAACGGGGAAACGCACAACACAAAATTTTATTTCCGCACCACACAACAAGAGACACATGCAGGAGGACACGATCCACATTGGGCCTTTGGGCACACACAGAAATGAAGTGCAAAGATGCAGAACGGGTGACGCATGGCTCGACAACCATCCATGCGAAAAAGGTCTTGGAGCCTTCGTGGACAACAAGTTGAACGTGAGCCAACAGTGTGATGCAGCAGCTTTAAAAGCCAACGGGATTTTGGGCTGCATCAAAAGGAGTAGAGCCAAGTTTCCCCCATTGTTCCTCTGTCTTGGAATGCAAGAAAAATCCGGATTATGGCAGTATCGCCAACATCAATGTTTATTACAGATTGGGTGACGCGTGGCTCGAGAGCAGTACGTGTGAAAAAGATCTTGGAGTCCTCGTGGACAACAAGTTAAACATGAGCCAACAATGTGATGCAGTGGCGGCAAATGTGGCGGCAAAAAAAGCCAATGGGATTTTGGCCTGCATCAATAGGAGCATAGTGTCTACATCTAAGGAAGCAATGCTACCCCTCTATTCTGCTTTGGTTAGACCACATCTGGAATATTGTGTCCAAAGAGAGATATTGACAAACTGGAATGTGTCCAGAGGAGGGCGACTAAAATGATCAAGGGTCTGGAGAACAAGCCCTATGAGGAGCGGCTTAAGGAGCTGGGCATGTTTAGCCTGAAGAAGAGAAGGCTGAGAGGGGATATGATAGCCATGTATAAATATGTGAGAGGAAGCCACAGGGAGGAGGAGGGAGCAAGCTTGTTTTCTGCTTCCTTGGAGACTAGGATGCAAGGGAACAATGGCTTCAAACTACAAGAGAGGAGATTCCATCTGAACATTAGGAAGAACTTCCTGACTGTGAGAGCCGTTCAGCAGTGGAACTCTCTGCCCCGGAGTGTGGTGGAGGCTCCTTCTTTGGAAGCTTTTAAGCAGAGGCTGGATGGCCATTTGTCAGGGGTGATTTGAATGCAATATTCCTGCTTCTTGGCAGAATGGGGTTGGACTCGATGGCCCAGGAGGTCTCTTCCAACTCTTTGATTCTATGATTCTATTAGAACCACTCAAAGAACAATAGAAGGCTAGCTTGTAGGCCTTTTTAGGACTCGCCAGCCCCTTGGACATTTCCTGAATTTCCATAATCCACTCAAGAATGCATTGTATTCCTTGTACTGCCTCCCTCTCTCCTGATTCGCTGAAGCACCGAGGYGCCCGAAGCCCTGTGATTGGCCCAGACACGCAGCAGAAGCCTTGTGATTGGCCCAGGCGCTCGAGARGCRGCCGAGCCTCMTCCCAGCTGTTGAAGCGCCAGCCAATCACCTTCAAGCGGACGGCGGGGAGCGGGAAGAATGCATTGTATTCCCTTGTCCCGCCTCCCTCTCTCTTGATTCGCTGAAGCGCCGAGGCGGCCGAAGCCCTGTGATTGGCCCAGGCATGTAGCAGAAGCCTTGTGATTGGCCCAGGCGCTCAAGAGGCGGCCGAGCCTCCTCCCAGCTGTTGAAGCGCCAGCCAATCACCTTCAAGCCGGGCAGAGGGCGGGGAGCGGGAGATTCAAACCAGACAACTCTGTTTTTCTATAAAAATGGCTTTTATTTGTACTTATGCATGCTTAGCTTGGCGAAATATTGCTGTTTTGCATCCTTTTCAKCTGAATCGCAATAAAATGATCTCGGTGGTGTTTCCTTCAACTTTGGTGAGATTTCTCCCCTTCAGGGCCAGGCCCTTTTAAATTCCACCATGATTTCACAACCATAACATTATTTTTGTTGCTACTCCATAATTGTCATTTTGCTATGTAAATATCTGATATACAGGATGTATTTGCTACTGTAAACCGCTTTGAGTCGCCCGAGGGCTGAGGAAAGCATTATATAAATGGAGTAAATAAATAATAAATAAATTCATACACTGGACCAAATTGCTGGGATTTATAGTTCCCCTACAATCAAAGAGCATTCTGAATTCCAACCAATGATGGAATTGAACTAAACGTGGCACACAGAACTCCCATGACTAACAGGAAATACTGGAAGGGTTTGGTGGGCACTGACCTTGAGTTTGGGAGTTGTAGTTCACCTACATCCAGAAAGCATTGTAGACTCAAACAATGATGGTTCTGGACCAAACGTGGCACAAATACTTGGGCGATATAGAGCTTAACATTTGGGAATTGTAGTTGCTGGGATTTGTAGTTCACCTACAATCAAAGAGCATTCTGAATTCCAACTAACGATGGGATTGAACTAAACGTGGCACACAGAACTCCTATGACCAACAGGAAACACTGAAAGCGTTTGGTGGGCATTGATCTTGAGTTTGGGAATTATAGTTCACCTACATCCAGAGAGCACTGTGGACTCAAACAATGATGGATCTGGACCAAACTTGGCACAAATACTCAATATGCCCAAATGTGAACACTGGTGGAGTTTGGGGGATATAGACCTTGACATTTGGGAGTTGTAGTTTCTGGGATTTGTAGTTCACCTACAATCAAAGAGCATTCTGAACCCACCCCCCAATGGATGTGCACCAGCTTGGCATACTACATGGCCAACGTTGAATACTGGTGGGGTTGGGGAGGGCTGTTTTTGAATTCTGAGAGCTGTAGTTCACCAACACCAAAAAGGATGCAGAAGAGAAGGTTGAGAGGAGACATGAATGCCATGTATAGATATGTGAAAGGACATTATCAAGAAGAGGGAGCAAGCTTCCTTTCTCTTGCCCTGGAGACTAGGACTCAATGGAGCCATAGGTTCAAATTACAGGAAAGGAGAACATTAGGAAGAATATTCTAACTCCAAGAGCTATTCAGCAGTGGAACTCCCTGCCTTGAGCTTCTGGTGGAAGCTCCTTCTTTGGAGGCTTTTGAATAGAGGCTGGGTGGCCATCTATCAGGGGTGCTTTGAATGCAATTTTCCTGCTTCTTGGCAGAAAGAGGTTGGACTGGATGATGGCCCACCAGGCTTCTTCCAACTCTAGGATTCTATGATTCTAAGAGGTATTCAACAGTGGAACTCCCTGCCTTGGAGTCTGGTGGAAGTTCCTTCTTTGGAGGCACTTAAACAGAGGCTGGATGGCCATCTGTTAGGGGTACTTTGATTGTGCTTTTCCTGCCTGGCAGTGTGAGGTTGGACTAGATGGCCCATGTGGTCTCTTCCAACTCTAGGATTCTATGATTCTAAAAGGTATTCAACAGTGGAACTCCCTGCCTTGGAGTCTGGTGGAAGCTCCTTCTTTGGAGGCATTTAAACAGAGGCTGGATGGCCATCTGTTGAGGAAGCTTTGATTGTGTGTTTCCAGAATGGCAGTGTGAGGTTGGGCTAGATGGCCCATGTGGTCTCTTCCAACTCTAGGATTCGGCGATTCTGTGACACTACAGTAGAGCTTTCCAAAGCTTTCACGCTTCTCGTTGCCTTCCTGTGTTAAGAGTTCAAGTTCATCTCATCCATTCCGCACCCTGTGAGCATTCGTTTGCATCCTTTCACGACACGGTCATTCAGATTGACTAGCAATCTGGAGGTGGAACCAAACCCTTTAGGAGACTTTCATATCTTGGTGCAGAGAGAGAGAACGGAGGGATATGGCTCCATCTCTCCCGTTCTGGCACAAGCGCTCTTCTCTCCCACCTCCATTAAGAGGCTGATTGCTTAATTACAAGTTCCCGATCGGCGGGGCTCGTCAGCGCCAAAGCCGAGGCAGCTGTATTTATATTTCCCCTCGGTGCTTAAGTGCTCCTTCAGAATTAGGTAGGCATTACCTCCGAGAGGTGTTATGCCACACAGACCTGGCAGCGCTGGTCATGTGCCACCGACAGGGAATGCGCCTTGTCGGGTCATCCAAAGGGGAATGGAAGGCAGGCAAACAAAGGGTGAGGAATGAATGAGATGAACTTGATCTCTTAACACAGGAAGGCAACGACGGCTATCCCATTATTTATGTATTTATTTATTTACCATATTTATATACCTCCTCTCTCAGCCTGCAGGCAAGGATACTAAGGATACTACTAATACTATTAAATGATACATAGCCGTTTAGAGTCTCCTTGTGGGTATAAATAAACATAGAATCATAGAATCATAGAGTTGGAAGAGACCTCATGGGTCATCCAGTCCAACCCCATTCCACCAAGTAGCAGGAATGTTGCATTCAAAGCACCCCTGACAGATGGCCATCCAGCCTCTGTTTAAAAGCTTCCAAAGAGGGAGCCCCTACCACACGCCGAAGCAGAGAGTTCCACTGCTGAACAGCTCTCACAGTCAGGAAGTTCTTCCTCATGTTCAGATGGAATCTCCTTACTACTATTACTAGTAGTAAAGGTAAAGGTGTTCCCCTGAGGTTGGTGTTCATCTCCATTTTTAAGCCGATGAGCTGGTGTTGTCCATAGACACCTCCAAGGACATGTGGCCAGCATGACTGCATGGAGCGTCATTACCTTCCGCAGAAGCGGTACCTATTGATCTACTCACATTTGCATGTTTTTGAACTGCTAGGTTGGCAGAAGCTGGGGTTACCAATGGGAGCTCACTCTGTCCCACGGATTTGAACTGCTGACCTGGTCAGCAAGTTCAGCAGCTTAGAAGTTTAAGCCGCTGTGCCACTGTGGCCCCAAGATATGGATAATATAATATAATATAATATAATATAATATAATATAATATAATATAATATAATATAATATAATATATACTCTCTCTCTCTCTCTCTCTCTCTCTCTCTCTCTCTCTATATATATATATAGAATATAATAATATAAGGTTATAATAGAATAGCTGGTGCTATCCATAGACACCTCCGAGGTCATGTGGCCAGCATGACTGCATGAAGTGCCGTTACCTTTCCACAGCTGCGGTACCTATTGATCTACTCACATTTGCATGTTTCTGAACTGCTAGGTTGGCAGAAGCTGGGGCTAACAACGGGAGCTCACTCTGTCCCACAGATTTGAACTGCTGACCTTCTGGTCAGCAAGTTCAGCAGCTTAGCAGTTTAACCCGCTGCGCCACTGCGGCCCCAATATATGGATAATATAATATAAATATACTATACTATACTATAATATATATAAAGATAATATAATAATATAAGGCTATAATAGAATATCTGGTGTTGTCCATAGACACCTCCGAGGTCATGTGGCCAGCATGACTGCATGAAGCGCTGTTACCTTCCCACAGCTGTGGTACCTATTGATCTACTCACATTTGCATGTTTTTGAACTGCTAGGTTGGCAGAAGCTGGGGTTACCAATGGGAGCTCACTCTGTCCCACGGATTTGAACTGCTGACCTGGTCAGCAAGTTCAGCAGCTTAGAAGTTTAAGCTGCTGTGCCACTGTGGCCCCAAGATATGGATAATATAATATAATATAATATAATATAATATAATATAAATATACTCTCTCTCTCTCTCTCTCTCTCTATATATATCTCTCTATATATATATATAGAATATAATAATATAAGGTTATAATAGAATAGCTGGTGCTATCCATAGACACCTCCGAGGTCATGTGGCCAGCATGACTGCATGAAGTGCCGTTACCTTTCCACAGCTGCGGTACCTATTGATCTACTCACATTTGCATGTTTCTGAACTGCTAGGTTGGCAGAAGCTGGGGCTAACAACGGGAGCTCACTCTGTCCCACAGATTTGAACTGCTGACCTTCTGGTCAGCAAGTTCAGCAGCTTAGCAGTTTAACCCGCTGCGCCACTGCGGCCCCAATATATGGATAATATAATATAAATATACTATACTATAATATAATATATACAAAGATAATATAATAATATAAGGCTATAATAGAATATCTGGTGTTGTCCATAGACACCTCCGAGGTCATGTGGCCAGCATGACTGCATGAGTGTCATTACCTTCCCACAGCTGCGGTACCTATTGATCTACTCACATTTGCATGTTTATGAACTGCTAGGTTGGCAGAAACTGGGGCTAACAATGGGAGCTCACTCTGTCCCACGGATTTGAACTGCTGACCTAGTCAGCAAGTTTAGCAGCTTAGCAGTTTAACCTGCTGCGCCACTGCGGCTCCAATATATGGATAATATAATATAAATACTATACTATAGATCGATAGATAGATAGATAGTATAATAATATAAGGCTATAATAGAATAGCTGGTGTTGTCCATAGACACCTCCGAGGTCATGTGGCCAGCCTGACTGCATGAAGTGCTGTTACCTTACCACAGGTGCAGTACCTATTGATCTACTCACATTTGCATGTTTTCAAACTGCTAGGTTGGCTGAAGCTGGGGCTAATAGCTTACTACTACTACTACGACTGATAATAATAATGATGATGATGATGATGATAATAATAATAATAATAGGAGACCCCCAATGCCAGGAGCCTAAATGCACCAGATTCTGTCTAATATTGGATTCAAATGTGAGGAAAAGAGATTCCACCTGTTTCGGCTGCTCAATAGCGGAATATGTTCATAGAATCATAGAATCAAAGAGTTGGAAGAGACCTCATGGGCCATCCAGTCCAACCCCATTCTGCCAAGAAGCAGGAATATTGCATTCAAATCACCCCTGACAGATGGCCATCCAGCCTCTGTTTAAAAGCTTCCAAAGAAGGAGCCTCCACCACACTCCGGGGCAGAGAGTTCCACTGCTGAACGGCTCTCACAGTCAGGAAGTTCTTCCTCATGTTCAGAGGAATCTCCTCTCTTGTAGTTTGATGTTGCCACCTTGGAGTCCACCTCTGAAGGCTCTTAAGCAGAGGCCAGATGGCCATCTGTCAGGAGGGCTTTGATGGTGTCTTCCCGCCTGGCAGAAGTTATTTCGACTGGATCCCTTCTGACTCTAGTGGACTATATGCCTGGGGAGTGTGGCAGAGTTCCTTTCTCTGGAGGTTTATCTGGCTGGCCATCTGTCAGGAGGGCTTGGATGGTGCCTTCCTCCCTGGCAGAATAGGCTTGGATTGGGTTTCGACCCCAACTTTATGTTTCTACAACATGTAGAATTTGACACCCGAGAAGGGAAACCCTCCCTTGGCGCGTTGCCCCTTGGATGGGCTGGAGGCGGTTGTGTACCACCTCTGGTGCTGCGTTGCTAGGAGACGCTCCAGGGAGGGAGGCGGTTGCTAGGAGACGCTCCAGGGAATGGACCGCCTGGCAGGAGCATCCCTGAAGGGAAGCCCCGGGCCTGATTCAACACCATGAAGAGGAGGAGGAGGAGGAGAAGGAGGAGGAGGAGAACCGAACCACCAACTTCTCTAACGTCTTAAGGGTTGGGGCCTTCTCCTTCATCCCTCTTTGGGTGTCACATCCTTCTTCTCCTTCCTCAGATCAAGGCCCAAGTTCTCATTGGGGCCTAAAACTCACAGGGTTTTCTCTTCGTTAGGCTTCTTGCATGATGATGAAGGCTTCAGAGCCTCCACCAAACGCAGGAATGGAGTCAGGCAGCATCCAAACCAGCCCTCTGTCTCTAAAGCAGTACATTAAGCAAGGTAAGGGACAGCTCTCCCTGCCCAGAACGATAGGTATGGGCAAACTCTGGCCCGCGGGCCGGATGTGGCCCCTTGGGCTCTTTTCTCATGCCCTCTTCTCTTTCACCATCCTATCCTTCCTTCCTTCTCTCTTTCTTTCCTTCCTTCCTCCCTTAGCTCCCTCTTTCTCCTTCCATCCCTCATTCCTTCCTTTCCATCCTTTCGCCCTTCCTTCCCTCTTTCCTCTTATCTCTTTCCTTCCTTCTGTCCCTCCCTCCCTCCTTCTCTTTTGTCTTTCCTTCTTTCTCTCTTTCCTCCCTCCCTTCATTCCCTTCCACCCTTCCTTCCATCTTTCTCTTCCTCGCTTCCTTCTCTCTTTCCTTCCTCCTCCGCTTCCACACTTTTGTCCTTCCTTCCTTCTCTCTTTCCTCCCTCCCGCCTTCCCTCTCTCCTTCCTTCTCTTTTGTCTTTCCTTCCCTCTTCCCTCCCTCCCTCCATTCCCTTCCACCCTTCCTTCCATCTTTCTCTTCCTCACTTCCTTCCTTCTCTCTTTCCTTCCTCCTAAGCTTCCACACTTTTGTCCTTCCTTCCTTCCCTCTTTCCTCCCTCCCACCTTCCCTCTCTCTTTTTCCATCTTCCACCCTCCCTTTTGTCTTTCCTTCCTTCACCCCTTCCATTTCCTTCCACCCTTCCTTCTTTCTCTTCCTCCCTTCCTTACTCCTCTTTCCTTCCTCCTTCCCTTCCACCCTTTCATCCTTCCTTCCTTCTTCCCTCTCTCTTTCTCCTTCCTTCCTTCAATCCCTCCTTCCTTCCCTTCCTTCCTTCCTTCTCTTTCCTTCCTCCTTCCCTTCCACCCTTCTCCTTCCTCCCCCTTCCCTTCCTTTCTCCTTCCTTCCTTCCTTCCTTCCTTCCTTTCCTTCCTTCCCTCCCTTTGTCTTTCCTTCCTTCCTCCTTCCTCCCTCCCCTCCTTCCTTCCTTCTTCTCCCTCCCTCCCTCCCTTATTTCTCTCTTTCCTTCCTCCTTCCCTTCCACCCTTCCATCCTTCCTTCCATCCCCCTTTCCTCCTTCTCTCTCTTTCTACTTCCTTCCCTTTTGTTTTTCCACAGCAGTGGGTCCCAACATGGGTCCAGCAATTGGCCCTAAAGGCATTTTTTCCTCTGTCCCAGCAGGTATCAAGCGGTTGTATCAGCAGCAAGAGCTCTGCGACGTCACCTTGGTAGCCGAAGGGAAAAGATTCCCTTGCCACAGGTGGGTGGAACCCAGAGTCATACACTAGAACTACTAGCAAAATTGGTCCTGGGGTTCTCTTCCAACTCTAGAATCCGACGATCCAGAGTGGGTTAACCCACCGCTATAAAAGAACAACACTTGATCATAGCCAAAAAGCACTACGCCGACGATGTGGTAATTCTGTCACAGACACCCATTGGCCTAAGATGAGCCCAAAGATTTGCTATTGCCAGCAAGAGTATCTTACAAGTAATCCCCAGAAAACTAAGACTTTCGCTTTGGGCAATCATCCCAGATCCAAAAAGTGGCAGCTACTAGGAAATAAGATCCATAGGTCTGTAGATTTAAGTGCTTAGGGGTGGGAATCCTCAGTCAAGTGCTGGTAGGCCTGTCAGGCTCAAACATCACTCACTAAATGAAGCTCATGTTTATGACGTTGTCTCCAGACTTCGGTCACTTCTACCACCTCTTTTCCTCTTGTTCCCGACAGGACGCTCCTGGCCTCCGTCAGCCTCTACTTCCAGCGCATGTTCTCCAGCACCTTCCGGGAATCTCGGGAGAGCGAGATTGTGCTCATGGATTTGCCTGCCACTTCCCTCCAGACCCTGCTGGGTTACGTCTACACAGGAGCGCTGCCCTTCCAGGAACAAGAGGCGGAAGAACTCTTCGCAGCGGCCAGCAGGCTCCAAATAGCGTCCGCACTCGAGGTTATCACCAGGTACTTCCCTAGACACTCTTTGGCTGTGGATGCAGCATAGAATCACACTGCTTTTTTTTCACCGCTCTTGGATCGTGTTCAGCTTGTGGTCAACTAAGACTCCTAGATCCCTTTCCCAGGGGGCTGTTTCCAAGCCAAGTGTCATCCATCCTATACTTGTGCATTTTTATTTTGTCAGTGTAGTACAGTAGAGTCTCGCTTATCCGACCTTCACTTATCCGACATTCCGTCTTATCCGACGCTCTTATCTGACGCTCCTCTTTTCCTCCAGCACTTCCCCTTCAATTAAAGGCATGCTTCCCAACTCTCTCTCCATTCCCAATAAGTGGAAAAGGAAAGACTAGGAGGAGGAGGAGGAGGAGAGGAAAGGCAGAAAAGAGGCAGGACCGGAAGCAGAAGCGTCCTCCCTCCTTCCCTTTGTGATTTTCACGCTCCTCTTCCGCATCCAGGCACTTCCTGCTGGGTCCATCAACCCCCGGGGCATTGCCTTGCCTTAACTCTTTGAGTCCCTGTTGTTAGTATTCTAGGTGTCAAATGGGTAACAGTAGGAGACTCCGTATTATCCGACATTTTTGTTTATTTGACATTCCATCTTATCTGATGCTTCCCTTTTCCTCCAGCGTTTCCCTTTCAATTAAAGGAGCACATTTCCCCAACTCTCTCTCCATTCCCAATAAGTGAAAAAACCCAAGACACGGAGGAGGAAAGGGGGGAAAGAGGTAGGACCGGAAGTGGAAGCATCCTCCCTCTTTCCCTCTGTGATTTCCACTCCTCTTCCACGTCCGGGCACTTCCTGCTGGGTCCATCAAGCCCCGGGGTGATGCCTTGCCTTAACTCTTTGAGTCCCTGTTGTTAGTATTCTAGGTGTCTAGTGCCATGTCAGATGAGTAACAGTTGGAGTCTCCGTATTATCCAACATTTTCGTTTATCCGACCTTCCGACAGTCTATTTACGTCGGATAAGTGAGACTCTCCTGTACCTGATATTCTTTCCTGTTGAAATCCAAAACAATGATAAGGAAGCTGCTCACCAACATGGTCACTTCCCAACATGGTCACTCTCTGTATCTGGTCTGTGTATCCAGTATGGTTCTCTGTATCCAGTCTCCGTATCCAGTGTTGGTCTCTGTATCCGGTCTTCCTATCCATATTTAGATGGTGCTTTTGCTGTTTTGTTTCTATGGCAGGTTCTTCAGAGGGAGGATTTCCGTCTGGAACTGCCTGGAGCTCTATGTCCTGGCACATTCCCATAACCACCGTCCTCTTCTTCGCCCGGCCTCCCACCACGTTGCCATCCATTTCGATCAAATCTCAGAGTTTCCTGCTTTCCAGGCCTTGGACTTTAGTGTCCTGATGAGCATCATAGTCTTGGATAGCTTAGCCGTGGAGTCTGAAATGATCGTGTACCGTGCCGTGCGCCGGTGGGTCATGCACCGCCAGGCCGAGCGGTTGCCGAAGCTGCCTTTTCTGATGGACCAAGTCCGCCTTGCGCTGCTGAGCCCCAAGGAACTCGTTGAGGTCCGTGCCGAAATGGAAGAGTCGTACGAAAGTGTGTGCCTCCCTTGGGAAGAGCTGAGCGTGGAGGAACGGCTGTGGGCAAGCCGAGGCCTGCGGCGAGGCATGTACCACGATGGGGTGGTCTGTGTGGGGCTTCCAAAATGGAGTGCGGTGAACGTGGGCGACGAGGAGCTGGATTCCCACGTCCACTTCTTTGACCCTTCTGTCGAACGCTGGGAGCAGCTCCCCGACCTCAAGACCTTGACGTCCCCCAGTTGCGTCTCCGTCGGCCACAAGCTCTACATCACTGGCGGGCAGCGTTTGGACGGCTCCTATTCGGACGCCTTGCAGGTCTACGATACGATCGGAAGCTGCTGGACCCAGTTGCCGTCCATGTCCGCAGCTCGAGCTGGACATGCTTTCCTCGTGTGCCGGAAAAAGCTGTATGTTGCCAGTGGATGGGACATCACTGGGAGCCTGGTTTGTGCAGAGAGTTATGACCTTGTCGGAGAAGAATGGGCCCCCATCGCCAGCCTCCCTTTCGCATTAACGTATTTTTCTTCGTTGGCACTCCGGGGCAAACTGTATCTCATCGGCGGGGAGATGGGGGACTCTGAAGTCCCGATCCCACACCGGGGATTCCTGGTTTATGACGTGGGATCAAGTCAGTGGACCGAGGTAAGCTTTCTCCATGACTTGGAATAGGGGACATGT